AGGATACGGTACTCTAACTCCTCATCGTGGGGAACCACATTCTGTAGCATACCCGTTCAGTCAGTGTTATAATATGATAACCCGTTATTCAACGAATATTGGTACATCCGTACGCACAGTCGCGACGACAATCTCTTGTCCGAGTTTCCAATTTCCTTACTCTTGGGAGCCTGTAGCTGCACAACACACATACCATCATTCGCGTATGCGGCACGTCACCATCGTGACATGAGAAAGCTCATAATCCGGTCTGTGTGACAACGCATCAGCCAAAGTACTCTGCTTTCCTGGCTTATACTTCACCTCGAAGCTACAAGGGAGAGCCACCTGGCCACCCTCTGCGAGAGGTGAGGCGACTGAGTCGCCTTGCGGAGTGACGCATGATCTGTGTAAACCACAAACGACTTTGAGCCGAGCAGGTGCACCCTGAACTTGACAGGTGCATACTTCACTGCAAGTAAATCCTTGTTGTGGTCTGGATACTTCTTCTCCGCAGTCTTAAGTTGGCGAGATTCGAACGCCATCGACCACACGATCCCGCGCCTCGTCGTCTGCTTGCAGCAGTGCACTGCCAATGGCAAAGTCTGAAATGTTGCAGACAACGCTTAAAGGACAATAGGGGTCTGGTTACGCCAGTATTGGTGCATAAAGAAGGCAGTTTATGACCCTGTCAAAAGTTTTCCTATGCTAGATTTACAACACAATTATGTATATTTCTTAAGGAGATTAGACAAAGGCCGTGCCATTTCCGCATAATTTGCGCAATACTCGTGCAAGTAATTGGCGAGACCAAGCCACTCGCGTGGGCCCTTTAGGTTCTTTGAAATCGGACCGTCCACAATGACCTTGACCATAGCGGGATCCGCTCGAAGGCCACGCATACGCCCGGTGGGGTCTGAACAACTGCGTCACAAGACGATTAAATGCACTCACAGAGCATACCGCTCGGAGTACTTACCGCTGTCAGCAAATATCAGTCGCTCTCATGAGCAATTGGTAAAACCATCAACCAAGTAGAGTGGATTGGACTTTGTACATCCAGCCATGTTGTTCTGGAGAGCATCCTTCCTAGGATTCGGCGTCTGTGCCGGAATGGTGGCAGCGTTTTGTAAGCGTGAATGATACATTACTTGCCGTTCGGCTTCCAGACACAAAACGTGGGTGTCGAATGGGGAGACTTACTCTCACGCACCATTCGTCAATGACGCCACTTTTCTTCTTGGCAAAGACCATCGGCGTGCCACGCAGCATCTAATTCCTGAAACTAGGTTGACCTCATGACGCACACCTCTGTCCGGAGATAGGACCGACGGCGGGTCTCTGGAGACGACGTCCTAAAATTCCTTTTTTAAAGGAAGTACAGATCCAAGTAATTCGTTAAGATCAAAGATCTACTTCGTGCGATCTACTTCGTGCGCTCAGCACCGTCTGGTTTTCTCCAGGACAGCTTCATCCAGAAGCGACGACGAGTTGATCTCCTCTTCGGGTATTGTAATGACCACCTTTGGCTAAGTCGCCTGATTTCAAGGCACCTCCAAACGCTTTAAAGGATATATCGTCCAGCTCAAGTAGAGTATTCACCCGTAAATAGCATCGATGGTGATCTCGCCGTCTTTATTTCCCGTCATACCGTTAACAAGGGTGTATACTCTGTGCTATCGCCTACGGTAGTAGATACCCCCTGGATCAGGGTCGACGCCGAGCGTCTTACAGCTAGTATACGGCGTCGCCATCGCCTCTCCACAAAGATTTTGAAATCTCGGTGAGACCTGTGGGAACGCACACTCAGCGTCGTCCAGTGTTAGCCCCACTTCCTGCTCCTTAGGAGCCCTGAGATTATTAACAGCATCTGATGAAGAGCTGCTAGCTCCGTAGTCTTCGCCCAGCGGATAACATGCCACTTCACGCGCATCTAAAGGGCCTTGCCCAAGATGTTTCGGTCTTCGTCCGACCATACCACATGTGGCGTGCAGAGACTGCTTTGAAACGCGAGCAGTGCTCAGTGCATTACTTGCCACTCCACGTGCATCAATAGGGCCTCGCCCTCGATGCCTCGAATCTCACTCGACCATGCCACTCTTGGCACGCAGCAACTGCTTTGTCAGTGCTCAGTGGAAAACATGCCACTCCTTGTGCATCGCTGGGGCCTCGCCCCCAACGCCTCGGTCCTTAGCCGACTTTACCACGCATGGCATGCATCGATTGCCTGGATAATTGACCAGCGCTCCATGGGTTACGTGCCTTTCCGCGTTCAGCCCACAAGACATGCTCGGGACTCCTGTCCAATACACCTTCGGTGTTCGACAACTCGGATACTCCAATTTCTAGCACGTTGACCGTCCCGGTCCAGTGCCCGCACCAATAGCGCTTCTGCTTCCTAGCAGCGATGGGTTCATGACTTACCAAATCTCCACCAGGTGACGTGTGCGTCGCGCCCAAGGACTTCGACATCCAATGAATCCATGACTCATGGTGTTCCAACCTTAGGATGACTTCATACCTTGAATCCAAGTATAATACTGAACAGCGTTATAAGCCATCAAAGTCAAGAAACTTGACACCGAGGTCCACAGGGACCCTCGGCACCGTGACATATGTCCCCGTCGCTAAGCAAACAGTGACGATGTCACTTAATCGCGCTTTCAGCGCTCCAGCATACGACTGACTTCTTTCTATCGTGGAGCGTTGAGCATAATTGCATAATTGACTGACGCCCTGGAATTAATCAGGATCTTCTATGCAATATCTCAAAGAGAGTCAGCTGTTCAAGACTTTGAAGCGGCCTACGTCATGGATTCAGTTGGAGAAATGCCGACAACGTTCAAGTCGGCTATGAAATCCATCGATGCAGGCAAGCGGAAAAAGGCATGCGACTCAGAAATACATTTGTTTCGAAAGAACAAGACTTGAAGGCTCATGCGTTTCTCAAAGCCCTTCACGGTCGCTTTTACAACCAGCAAGCCAGGCTTGTAAGCACGTTTCGTGTTTAGAAGCATGGAGGTCATTGGGGCTGGGCCCTGCTGTCCTCTACCTGTTTGAGGCTCAACATAACTTTGTTCATCCCCAGTAGAGCACCCCGTGCCTACCGAATGTTGTCATTTCACCGCGACAAACCAGACAGATGAGAAGCGGGACGTCGGTCGATGAACCTTTGCGCGCCTTGCGCAGGATACAACCAGTCCAAAGATGATGGGCGTCTCCACAGACAAAACACCGTCAGGTGACTGAATGCTGCTCGGCAGCTCGAAGCTTTCACCCTCTTTCCAGCATAGCTGAGATTCATCAGCTCGAGCCCGCTCAACGAGCTGCTAAAGTTTGCATTCCAACCAATTTGTACCGACTTAGAGTTAAATTCGGCATTCAATGCCACATCCACCGCTTCTTCACTAGAAGATGGATGGACACGACATACTCCTAATCTGGCCACGCCAGTGCGAAAATCTCCACAAAAACGGTCCACTGCGACCGCTTCGGGGAGAGGATTGGCTCCCACACCGGCAATTAGAGTAGGCAACTCTTGGACAATGTCCACCACCTCCTTCTTGCCCACTGGGCGGCAAGGAAACGCGATCGCACACGATATGCCTGATCAGGCGGCGAGAACACTCGTGAAAGCTGCAGTTTCAATTCCGTTCAGGAGATACCCGAGCTAGCTGTATGTATATAATGAAAGGTCACCGACCTCAGCTTTGTTTTCTCTAAGCCAAAGAGCTACGGCAGCCCTGCTGCAGTCAGTGCTTCTAGTGCAATGGGTTGTGCACCCTGCAAAGAATTTGGATCGACGAGTGTTAACAAAGGCATTGTGTGTGGGCTTGTACGCGTCGCTTCGAAGCCAAATCGAGAGTCTCTCGAGCAGATAAGTACTTCTTTTGGTTCAAATTCATCGTGACAAAAATTTGTGTTATTTGGACATATATAAGTTACATCCATATTTATATCTTAAACAATACATTTCTGTTTACTGCAGAGCGTAGAGCTACTACCGACGGACTTCTCCTCTCCGGAGCACAACACCTCGCATATCATTATACTTCAGCATCGTATTATACTTATCTTGTCTTTATGTCCGAGGGATAATAGTGACGATAGTCTCAGGTAGTCAGTCGTACACCATAATACAGTACGTACCCTGTTTACAATTAAGCTCAGAATAGCTCAATGATTTCTGAAGAAAAAAGCTTGAACTAAAGAGTAATGCATAGCTTGCATCTAATAATTGTAGGAGAAAATGTCTCTTGGATGTTTGTTTTCTCCGATTGTGAGCAGTATCGAGCTTACACTTGTAATTCTGAAGAGGCATAATAGACTTGAAGATCTAAGAAGAATGAGAGCATACTGATAATAATTTGAAGCAAGGGATATAATACGCCACGTTTTAGATAATTGAGAAGGTTTTGCTTTAGCAACCAGAGGCCTAGTAGAGTCTCCAATACATCGAATAAGATACACATTGAATGCTCTAGCGTGAAAACACATTATACAAAAGACTGGAAATGCTGGGAAGAATGAGATAAGTGTCCAATGGACACATTACTGCGAACTCAAGAAATCAAAATGATTGAATCTTCTTGCATTACTATCTCAAGTTACAGCAAAAAATCGGGTAAATGAGCTCATTCTTCTTCTACTACAAGAAAGCTCAACCCTTATGGGACTTAGGCACAAGAAGACTTTTAATTACGGACTTCAGTGCACACATTCACACCTCGAAATCCAGGAAAATGCAGTGAATGGCACGAAATAGGTCTTTGCCATTTCTTTTGACTTCATTAAAGTATCTCAAATCGCTCAAGTCTTCGGATCATGTTTATGCTAAGTTAAGTAGCCAGGTATTTGGCTATAAGTCGTGTCTCTGTTCATTATGGTTCAGTATCGTTACAGACATTAAAGTGTGCATCATTTTCCTCCTCCCTCGTCTTCTCACATGTCAGCCAGCAGACAGGGGTTCATAATAAAGAAAATATATTTGGTGTCATTTTCGCTTCGATAGAACGCGCGTCATGCGCCACATTTTCGTCCTAGGAACGACGTTAGTTTCTGTCGTCTCGGCAACGACAAATTGCTGGGAAATTGATCGTTCAGGATCAATTCAGACGGCAGTGATCGCTGATAAAGGCTTAGGCTGTGCTGTGGAAGTGACGATTACTCATGTAGCATCTTCGTATGCGTTGGAAAAGAGCGTCCCACTATTATGGGGCGTACAACTTAAGAAGGACTCGTCTAATTCTATGCGTGTACCTTTGCCACCTCACGTTATGACTCCGCTTAGCTTTAACAATGATGGTAGAAGTGTGCAAATTCTTTCTACTTATATCAGGACGTGTACTTCCCAATCGCAATGCAGTCCAAGTCTCGATGGAAATGAGTTAATTACTCCAGCTCAATCTGGAAATTTTTCCAATTTGGAAGCTACTTACTTCTCTACCTTCGACGATATTTCGTTTCCAGAAGAAGGAAAGTATACTTTAGCTGCTGTCGCTGTACTTGGAAATGCTGGCGATAGTAATATACTATATTACTTTCAGACGTATGTAGATATTGTAGTGAAGGATGAAGTCGTGACTGAGTAAGTTACTTTGCTGTATGTTATTGTAATGATTGTAATATTGACAAGATGATAATGTTGACAGGGAAGATACCAGTCAATCGACATATTGCTATGTTGCAGTACAAAAGCCATTAGAAGCTCATCTTGATCGTAACTTGGTGCTTATGAGCAGTGATAACTCGGAACTTGAGTTGAAAATTGACACAAATAGTGTTGTACAAGCTAACAAGGAATTTGATGTCACCTGGATAGCTACATTGACACGTGACTCGTCGAAAGAAATTCAACTACCTTTGCCACTAAAGGCAGTGTATGTGCCTTCCGACAATAATCAAGACTTCAGTGGGTATTTTACTATCGTGAGCTCGATTGTAAAACTGTGCGAACGCGATATGGCGTGCGATGCATTTTCACAAACAACAACAGTATCGTCTGCTACTTCTTCGAGTAATTTTACTTCGGAAAACACTGCAACATTTACTGCTCGGGACATTGTTGTACCTTTGTTAGGTTGGTATCGAGGTTATGCTCAAGTGACACTTGCGGGAGCTGCAGAATCACAAAGATACGACTTTATAAAATATTTTGAAGTCTTTGCTACTGAAATGAATATGATGACAATTGACGAGAATTCGGAATACGTTCATGATGGCAGTATATCCTATTGCTGGCAAACAATCGCTCCTGCTGACGATGAGAGTGTTGATGCTACAAGTGTGATATTTGCAGGAAATAGCACAAACTGTCCGTATACAATAAACATGAGTGTCTCCGAGACGACATGTACAGTGAATACTATACCGTTGGTATCTTGGAATGTATCGAAGAGAAATGATTCGACTGGAATAAATGGAGTGACAGCAAATACCACAACAGTATATGACGCATCCAGTGGTCAGTACGTCAACTTACCCCAAGTGAACATTTACTACTGTACCGAAGCCAAGTGCTCGCCATTTTCAAAGCAGAAAACTCTTGTGCATTCAGCTCAGCCAATGAATTTTTCTGCAAATGGCGAGGCTTCACTCACTTCAACAATCAGTATACCAAGTGAAGGAACATACGCTTTAATGGCACATGCTGTCGTACCAAATGGAGACGACATTCGATATGATGTGGCTTCATTCATTCAGATGACTGTCACTGCATCCACTGCATTAGTTGTGACCAACGAAAGCTCTAATTTAAACGTTGGATTTACTGTCGGTGTTACACTTGGCTGTGTGGCACTTGTCTGTCTAGCTGCATTAATTTTCATCCGATATCGCCGACGATATGGTCAACAAAAAGGACTCAAGTTTCGATTTTTTGGCTTTCGACCATTGTCGAACATGAACGAGCAACCGGCAAATTCGCCGAATTCTATACATGGCTCAGATGAGTCGGGCAACTTTATGTATGTAAAAGCTCAACGATCGCCACTAGACATGCCGCGTGCATTCTCGTTGTCTTATGATCCATCTTCTCGAACAAGTTTAGGCCACGAAAACTCGGGCTACAGTTTTACTTTATCCGAGTCGGATCTTCCGCGTCCTTCATCAATCGACAAGACAATATTTCCAAACTCTTGCGATGGTTAATTGTCCCTCGCCTATCCACGATCACCAGGAATAATATGTACAGAGATGCTTCCACATCATACAATATATCGTTAATGGAGTTATTCAATCCAACAAATACACTACAAGAATTCAAATACTTCAACCAGACGATGATGTGATTTGAAGCACCAATTCTTGTCTAGGACCATATGGTCGATTTCACAACAAAGCGTAATGATTATGTATTTTATAAGATAGGGATAATGAACTCCTGGAAATCTTGCTGACAATTATTGTTTGTACACGACACTAAGTAGTCTGTCAACTATGCTAGTAGATTTTATAGTCACTGCGTATTGTGCTTAAGGATGGTCGAGAATGTTTATGTCTAGAAGTATTCGATGTAATTCATTATAGCAGAAGAATGGAATATTCCTCGAATAAGTCGCGCTCTATCTGATAATACGCCTGAACTGGAAGATGCTAAGCGGTCAGACTGTTATAGACAATATGATACGCGAGAGAATTAGCGACCCGCAGAGCGGCACTGCCGCTGAGTGGTCACATTCACCGCCTCTTCAAATGGACGCTGTGATGTGTCACACTTATCTGTGGATCTGCCACCCAAAAAGTAACAAATGTTTACGCCAAGCGCGCTCTATATTGCTTGGTTGAAAGATGACGCACAGACCACGAAATATCGAATCTCAGTAAATGCAGGGCGCTTTGTGGGTTCTGATTTGACAAGGGTCGATATTTTTCCGCGAGGATCTCGTGACAAATCACTTCTGCTGTTACTAGACCCACTCGTCTCCATGAGATAGCTGTAACCAGTATTACACGAAACGCGCAGCCAACGTCCATGGGAACGTATTGACTATCATAAAGTATGCTCTGTTAGCGCATAGAAGCTTGCTCGACATTAAGACGGTCCGGACAAAAGTATAACGCGTAATAGATTGTGAAGAATTTCCTCCCTTGTGTGATATGCCGATCGCAATTGCTGTCCCTTCAGACAGATGCGATCAGGACTGGCTCGTAAGAGATACGGCTTCCTTAAGCACATGTGCCTACAATATTTTTGGAGTAAATATCAATTGTCTGTTGTTTCGACCGTCGTTTGCGATCCATTGCAGAGTGTGTTGAAATTCGGCGACACGACTATGATTCCTTGCTGTTTTGAACAAGTTGTGATCTACCGAATAAATTTATTTGAAAGAGCTAAAGGAAAATGTGGTTAGTGCCGACATTAATTATAGGACTTCGGCAATATGCAAGTGCCAACGACAGAAGAATCACTTATTTACTGAGATGAAAGATAAGATTAAAATTTGTCATGATATGCGGCCTTGAACGTCCCCTGCTTTGGGCCCTTATGGTCATCGCTTAAGAGTGTTTAAGTTACCTCCTTACTCAAATGGGGAATCATATCGAATTTATGTCGACTACTCAAGCCATATCACGCTCCAGTTCGTATGAGCCACCCGATGCGAGGGTTATGTTGATGACGATGCGTCACTTTTCTTGAAAGATAGATCATTGGATAGAGCGAAAAATATGTTCATGAATTGCCAGCACACTATCGGGCCCCTAAAACTGGTAGAGGACGCCATATAGATGACCAGTATTTGTTAACACGTTTCGAACGTGAACACAGAAGTGTTAAACGATTTGAACATCCTCGATCGCCATGATGTAGCGCTAGTCAGGTCTCTTCTACTCTATTGACATGACCTTTGAGAGAGTTACCGTTTGCCTCGCACAAAATTCTGTATTACCATGAATGTATTCTCATCGCAACCTAGCTGTAATACAGCAAGCCTTGACAAGGAATATCGCATTAAATTTGCCTGGATAAACTTGGAAAGCATCTTCCAAGAAATTTGTTACTTAAAGTTTTTAGTAACCAGCACATGATGTGCAGATTCTGCACATCGTACAGTTACTTTTAAGTGTAATTTGCATTCTGTGTGACACGAAGGTGTATTTACATTTACGAGGCTTATCTCTACCTCATAGGTACACCCGGCAAAGAAGGTTCATCATTCATCTTACTTTGCCAAAGTTGCGGCGTCAGTGTCATAACGCAACGACTATTGATTGAAAAATATCAAATATTGCTCTAAGCTAGAATTGTACTTTGAGTCTGGCGACGCAAAATTGATAGCCAGCACTGCGGTACCAGTGACATCCGAGTACCTTGCACACAAAAAGTGTTGACTGAAAAAGTCTGCCGCGCACAGAGGTTGAGCTCGTACACTTCACCCAGTAGTACTTGAATTGCTACTCTGTTTCAATGATATATATTAAGAGTTTTTTTGAAATCAACCCAATTCTAGATGAACATTGCTTATCAAAAAACTCTTGGTTTTTATATGATATCATGCTAGTAGTTAAACTGTCCTAAGGTCGCTGCTTTATATAGTTGCATCGTCCATATCAGGAACAAATTCCTGTGCTATAGCTTTGCACAAATGTGTAAGATACACTTACACAATATTATGGTACGTACACGGTAACCACCCTTCTCAAGGCTCACACTTATTTTTCGTTCTTACGGCATTGACTTTAGTTGAGCAAACAACGGCATTGCCCTAGATGTTTGAATTTCTCCACTCAAACTTTTTTGCATCTGTTCCCGACAAGCTTTATCTGCTTCAAGTTCGCCCATCAAACTGCATCAATGGTTGAAATAACTTCTGAGATGAGCGCGGCCATGGTAGCAAAGATCTAGAAGATTTTCTTGATAAAGGTCCGATTTGATCTCTGATAAAACTGGATTTAGTGCCCGACCTCGGTACATTCGTCTTCATTAGGAGCAAAACAAGTTAGTCTCTCTCTGAGAGAGGGCGTGTACTATCCTCCCTATTTTCTCTGCACAACAACCGCTCACTTCTTGACTCTATCCTGCAACAGTAGGGCTCGCAGAAAAACTTAGGACGACGTCTAGCCTATTACCAATGGGTTGGACCTTGCTCATCAAGCCGAGCGTGTCCGTCTGCAAATGCAAGAGACTATTTTTCTGACATCTGTAGCTAGTTGCTATGCTGTGACGACGACGACCCATATGCGTACTATCCTACCGCTCAAACAACGTTCAAAATGAGCGCTCGAAAGTTACCAATCAGTACTTTTTGTCTCCTATAGTCTTCTTATGATTGCTACCTAAGTTGGAGCATCAAATGTCAAGTGGGTCCGTATCCTTCATGAAGACCGTAACTTGGGCTGAGCGCTGGTAAACCTGGTGAGGAGTATCGCACTCAATTTGTGAGCTAGACGAATAAGACATGTCGTCTTACATGTCTTAAAACCTATCAAGCCAGCTCAAATGAAGCACTCGCCAGGATTGAGCGTCGTTTACTGCTTACTTTGTTGAGCTCATATCACGGCGTGAACGTCGCGGTCGATGCTTACCACCCCAAATTTCGTCTGCCGACAGCTTGCTCATCTCTATAAATCTGCCGGAACAGCCACCAGTAAGGTCTCTCAGTTTGATCAACATTAGAATCAGACGTTAGTCGAAAGCACATTGCTTTAGACTGATATGTCACTCGTCCTGGGTAGATGAAGATTAATGATGCGGTAGGTCGGAAGAGTCAACGGCGCTAGTGCAATCTTAGCGATGTAGGATTTCGGACTATAATGAGTTCTAAGGAGCGCTGAATTCGAAACACTCTAATAAAAAAAACTATTCTTTTCATCAGATCATTGTAGCTGATTTGGTTTCTGCTCTGGGATAGCGATGCAGCCCCGGAGCGCATTGAAGCATCCAACTACTCTATTCGATGGCGTAGCCCATCAAATGCATTCTTACCCATTGCAAGATCGGGATCGTGATATTGCGTGTAGCTCAGTCGTGTCGCGATATCGGCGAATATCGCTGACTCTCGTTGCAGCCACATCCATGACTTTACTGCAAAGTATTGTCAAGTTGATTACAGCTGGTCAATCAATATTGGCAGCTCCATCCTTCAATGTCTGGAGCCATTTTCAGTCGATGCCAAACAAACATGTCATACAGATATGTTAAATTTGCATTGATCTGATCAAGGCATGGATTTCTTCTTTCAGCTCAAATTCATGAGTGGGGGCTCGTTTATTCGCTCTACGATATCTCTGTGCGGACTCCCCCATCAAGCATTAAAAACACTCCGGCTGACGATAGTTACGTCAATCGTTAGCGATAGGCATTTGCAACCTGATGTTCAACACCTCCAACAACGCTGAGTAATATTTTTCTGTAAAGCGCACAATTGGTCCGAAATTATGAATCTAATAATTGGTCGAAAAACCACTTTGCTAAAACCTTACCGGTATTTTTATAAAGCAGCGGCGAGATAAGTCATCTCGCCTAATATATCCCAAGCATCACAATATCGATGCAACTGGAGTTATCTTTAGAAGCAATGAACTCGTCTGCGAAAAATCTGCAGGTACCGGTAGGCTGGCAACATTGCAGGCGCTTGCGCAAAAATTCAAATTGTTGGCAGGCTCTACCTGTGGGCACACACGAAATAACCACCTTATAAACGTTTAGCCTCGAGTACATGACACCACTGCGCTGTATGAATCTTTCGAGGTGGTCACGTCGGAGTGATCTCATGTGTCTCGTACATTATAGTGTTCATAAGATCATTATAATGAGATATCACTACGAAGTAAGTGTCAAGCGCGTCAAAGCTGTACTATAGCAATTTAATAAATGTAGTATCTTGATGCAAATAGGCAAGTAATTACTGCGCAAAAGCGGTATCTGAGCCCATAAATGTCTTGCATTGACCCATAAGATAAGTAAGCTAGCCATAGCGATTGCACTACAAATGTCCTCGATTTCGGACTCATCTTTGAGAGATAACGAGCTCAGCTCTCCATCCAGTACATCGTATTGATCAAGTAAAACACCGCCTTCAAAACATTGCGAGCATGACAAGCTCAACGAGCAACCTTGTCTGAGGTAATGATTGGATATTTTCTAACCCCAAGGGAGGTCCAAGTCAAAGGATGCTCCAGTGAATAAAATTTCTGGCTGTAGTGCTCCATCGCACCTCTTGGTGAACATCTCACGCTAGTGCTGAGTTAGTGCTGAGTCAGCACTATCGTGTGACGTGTTCATGGTTAGGCAGTACTGACTTAGAACTATCTCACCATTATGATAAGGATGGACAATACTGATTATATTTTGTGGCCTGATCATTCAACGTAGCTTATAGCTGCCCATTTACACAAGCCGTGAGCCAGGGATTTGCGACAAACAGTCAGTCGCACCCGCTCGCCTCCACCGGTTTTGGCACATGTAGCAATCTAGAATTTTCGCCGAACGAACGATTAATTTTGGTTCAGTATAGATACAATCTACAGACTGTAAAATACGATCGCAATCTTCTCATCTTGAAGTTGCAGCCCACAGCGGTTTTCCCCTTCCAGAATCTGCCCAAGATCGTCAGCAATATCGTAGCTTGGTAATTTAACAGTCCATGTCCTGCATCAACCTATCAAATTCTCATGCCGCATCAACAGTAGTTAGACTTTCTAGCTGAGGCAGGTTTATGACTCACCAAAATCTTACCAGGAGCAGCAGTTGAAACTTTCAGCGTCAAGTCAATCCATGATTCATGGCGTTTGGGCCATGTCATACCCAGGTGAAGATAGTATCTAGAATTTATGTATGAGATCTTCCATGTTCTCGAGTTTTTAAATATAAAAAAATATTTAAAATTGATTGAAAGATTCGTGGACATTTTCACGAGGATTTTTGTCATAAGATGCATATATATATTGTATTCGTATGCCATATCTTCCATACCACCCACATAAAATTCAAACGTTGACAGTGGCAGCCGTTAACTAGAAGTACATGACTCCCAGCTAAACACCGTTTCTAAAAATGAAAATTAATGACCCGGACGATCATGAGTTATACCAAATCCGATTTTGCTCCAAGTTTTGGACCCCGCGCTATTTCGGAATCGAAAAATTCTCGCGAGAGATACCTTCAGCGATTTTGAGGAAGAGTTCTACCCTTCGTACGTGGCAGCCGTTAGACGGGGATAATCAGGGCGCAGATGTTTGATACTGCCACAGATTTTATATTGATGAAGTGAAGACGGCCGTTATAAGATCTATGCTTCTTACTCATCATGACTGGGGGTCATCGCCTGTACAACGCTTATAGAACTACCACCTCCCACACCCTGACCGGACATAACAAGATTGAACTTGTTTACCACATTTGATTTGATATCCAGCGTGTACTCAGGTTGTATTGACGCAGGGTACACCGACAAAAGTAGAACTTGTTTTGAAGGCCTATATCACGATATAACTACGAGCGCGTGGTAACGAATGTCTACCGCAAACGCTGCGATAAGAGTTCGCAACTCTTGAACGTGATCAGTATATACGCCTCTCTTGACGGGTAAATAACTATATGAAACGCAAAGAGAGGTCGTCTTTCAAAATCTAGGTATCTGACATCAGCGGCCTCACGGTGATACCTGTCTGCCTGGGCTTCCTGGAGATTTATCATCAGATCATTATCATCGATGATGAACACCTTTAGGCAAACGGTCAAAAACCCTTATCCTTGGGTTGTCAACTGCTGCATTTATCCATTCCAGACGGTGGAAAGGATAAGAAAGCATGCTTACGAAACCGCGGCCATGGGATCTTACATTCTTATGCAACTTTGTCACCAGATTGACGACAAAATCTACCAAGTGCAATGGGGGTTGCTGTGCACCTTGAACAAAGATTCCTTTGTTCACAAAAGCACAGAATAAGGGTTCTTCTGCGTCACTCCGAAGCGGAACCGACTAATGAGCATTGAGTTAAAAAAATTCTCTTAGGTAACATATATATAGTATCATGGCTCCTTTGTACAAATTTCGTTAAACGATGTACTATATCGATAACAAAGTATCATGTCAGGTATTGCGTAAAGCTTGCAGCCCGCATGTCCCACGGATTTCTATTTATGGAATCTTTTTCTCCTTAACAGTGCCACTTATTGAGCTTTGCACAACCGTGAAGTGTGAACTTACAGAAAAAGTATAGTATGTATTCTGCTGCACTTTGTTGGCATGAGCTCAAATTTCTATCAGACATATTTCTGTGGGTGGAATCCAAACGCGATGACGCGTTCATGCCCTGCAGCATCTGCTAAATAGAATGCGCCCTTATCAATTTTTCAAGCTTCAACTTGTCCGGGGATACTCCAAAAGTAGTGATTGTTTTCAATCAATCAGCACTTATTACTGCTACAGAGGCTTTTATTCCTTATAAAATATCCTAATCATTTTTTCTTCTTTGACGCAAGACTATATTTGACTGTACATAATAGGAAGCCAAGTTCGTCAGTAAAAAGACTCGAGATTTCTGAACACTGTAAACATTTCAAGTTTAAATTGCTGTTTTGTCAAGAAAACGCACTTTATCGTTCATTTGTGTGCACGACATCTTAGTGTGAAGACAGCTAACGTGACGCATCGCTCCGCGTTTGGAGCAGGGGTGAGTCCTTGCCAACTCAACCTCAAGTGATATAAGAAAGATATTGTCTTCACGCTGTAAAAATGATCGACGCTTAATTAAAGCGAGGTCTTTGATGGGGTCGATTGCACGTCAACCGGAGACTGTTTAAGACCTCTGTGGGGGTAACTAGCTTGCGGATTCTCGCAGCCCCGGTCAAGCGACAACAGGTTACGGTCATTGAGCCGATAGTTGCGCAATCCCCCTTGAGACCAATAAAAACCGGAAGTTTACTCTGTGTGTCGTCTCGAGCCTGATAGTTTAACGCTTCATGCTCCGTAGTCATGATGACTACAGAATCAGTAAGGACCCAGTTGTGAGTTGATGACCAATGGGAACAGTACAGCTCGCAGAAACAAAAAATTCTTGTTGAGTCCACCTTGATAAATTTAAAAAGGTTGTATGTACAGGTACATACCCTGCTATGGTGTATATTTAGTTAGATACCTAAGGGTCTGGACAAAGCCAAATATGACCATGTCAAAGAACCATGATAAGTGCTACGATTGATACTCGGAATAAATTAGAGTGATGGCACCCCATGAAGAGAGACTGCAGGGCACGTGGGCTTACCAGCCTCACACATGCCTGGATAAGAGCTTTATATTTTGAAAAAATGAAACTTGAAACGTTAACGTTTATGTCCTAGGGATCAAATTTGTGCATGACTTAAGCTATGGCTTTGTCGGCCTGCGGGAGCAGCGCAATAGAAGATTCAAGACCCAGAAGCAATTATGGCTAGCTTTGAGGCATTCAGCTGCAATGAGCTAGCGCTGGTGAGATACCTTGCATGACAAGACACTTGTTCACACACTACCAGCTTCAACATTTAACTGTAGATCGAGGCCGCTTTTGTCGAGTGTAAAGCTTGATGAGAAACGTTTTTAATGTCTGACCACAGAACCTTGAGATGGCTAAAAAATTGAGCCAGCTTTTAACAGGGAAGCGTCGCGTCAAGTTAGTAACACCCTAGCAAAGAAATTCCGCGTAGGAAAGAGTATGAGCGAGCGAATTCGTCGACAAAACTCTCGCATTATTGGATCTTTTCAAGCAAAAAATGTCGCGAGTATTGAACCGCTCAACCGGGCTTGGTGCATGTGGTCAAAGTTCTGATTCACTTGCTAAGTGTTGGGTTTTGTCTAACAGCTCCACATCCATAGCCAGGAAGGTGCTTGACCCTTTCTGAGGTCGGCAAAAGGTGTCTGCTGCACCGATCTTCTTTGTAAGCCTTATCAACACAGAGGAAGGTAGATTCATATACCATTGAATACAATGGTCCAATGGTCAAAATTTTACATTGGAAGCTTACACAGAGTCCGCATTCATACCAAAAACCGAGTGTGACTTACAACGTTGGATCATCACCGTAAATCCAAATGTTGTCCTCGTCAGCGCAGCTCGTGCAATTTTATTGTCAAGTTTGGATTGTGCAATCTCTCGGCTCCCAATATCGACCTGCACCTAAATCTAACTGTTTCAGGTATCGCTGATACTAACTTCTTTCATGTAGAGCACATTCATCATGTTTGATATACCTAGGATCATCTTTCTTGTTTCTGGATTAATAAGTGGGTAGGATTCTCCTAACTTCGAAAAGCAGTAGACGGCCTATCACGCTAATTAACCAATGTAATCAACAGCTCTTTTTCAATACAACGACGCAACTTCGAATCATTCAAAGAGTATACAGAGCTCATGCGTACCCCGCGAACCAGAGAAATGACAAGCAACGTGTATTTTACATTCAAATTTAAGGCTTCGTCTTGCGTGCCGCGACAAAATTTCACTGCATGGTCTTAGATCAGCCCATAGTTAAGAATAATGGAAGAATAGTTCATTTTGCTCAATCGTGACAAATATACGATACTGGTGATACGTAGTCCATAGTGTATCACAACGTAGAAAGTTGTGTGATGAGAATCACTTTTTTACTTAACGATACAGACTTTTCAAGCGCAGTAGAAACAAAGACAGTCGCGTCGACACTTCTTCACGTTACAAGCGATAGAACATTCTCGTGTACCGTTGAAAATCAGCTCTTACTGTGCAAAAGGAATTTTTCACTACACATGTTCTCATAGAGCGTGTGGTAATTTAAATCTTGAGCTTAGTGCTGAATGTTGTCACATAAGCAGCGTATTCATACAGAATACGGTTCAAGTAGAACAATATCCTCGCGGCATTGCATGCTTGTGTATGCTTCAGATTCTAATTCAGCTAAAACAAGCACAGTATCGGCCTGCCGTATTTGCTAGTACTAGTGATACTAACAACGTTGAAATTTATGACGTCTACTATCGAAGTACCTTATTGGTGATTTTATTAAGATCCACGGACAACTTTCGAAATTTATACTCGTTTTGAATGATCTCACTTGTCATTTTTCTTTTATATGATCTATACAGTAATTATCTGTGGAAGGGCCAACTTTCTGACTATTTACTGCAAAAAGCGCATACGGTGCAGCATAATCATATCAATTATCGCAAGTGTTGGTTAACAAGACATCATTGCTGAAAACGATGACGGTGGCATGCGAAAACAATATTATAACTTGTTTTCATTAGGCTCTACATGTGTAGACCATGAAGGCGTAGTAACATGCTCAATTAGGATTGAAAAATTCACTTCTGCTATCACTCGTGCACTTTTTTACAAGCTCTCACAGTCTGATTTTTCCTCAAATAACTTATATATAAGGGCCGGTTCGCTCGACCAGATGGACGGCATTATGTAGGTTGTGGGGAATAAGTTCTCATAGGTTTTCTTAGATTTGGTATGTGCATACATTTTTACATTACACTTTACACAGAATACAATTTTATAGAACGAACTCTGGCTCCAGTAGTGTTTCTAAGACTGATACTTGTTAGGACATTTCTATATTTTTCGATGAAGAGTTTGTTTTCAACTACGTCTTGATGATTTATCAAGCCGATTGGTATCTTTGGCAACTGATATGCGATTGCGAAAAAATCAAGTCATTCATTCGTATTCTGAATGGACTGAATTACGTGCCGAATACTATCTCTATCACATTCTCTCGACCAGGGTTTCAGAACACTTTGACTTCTAGAACTTTGTATAGCTGATTCGAGTCGGATTCGAAGACCGCAATCGTTTGCAGTATTGAAAGATTCAGGTCAACGCATCCCGTTGGACAGCTTCCTAGGACCGTACTATCAGTGTCGTAAGTGTACCACTATGTCTCACTTAAACTGATCAGGTCATCCACTTTTGTCGTGTCAACTAAATCTTTGTTACATACTGAGTGTTCGATATTTCATACATATCCATTCAATCATATTCTAGCGATGCAAATTTCCTACTTTCCTTCAACATAACCTAAATTTTCACTTGTGATGACTCAACAACGCAATTACACAAACTCGACTTTCTAACATGTTAAGAGATTGTTTCTATTTCAGTGCTTGTTGTCACAATGAAAGTGGGACGTAAAAAACCTTTATCGTATCATTCTATCCAACTATTGTTCTTATAGAGAGATCACGATTTTTTAAATTACTGTAAAATTTTCATTTGTTGTTATGTTGAATTTACAGTATTGACAACACCCCAGTTCTATCAGCATCGTCATGATGCCTCACGTCGAGAAACACGTCCAGAGCAACTCAATGGCTGCTACTAGTAGCATAAGTAGTAGTATGACTACAAGTCCTATCACTCAATCTATTGATTCACCTGGTCTTTCGTTATGGGAAACTCAAGGTGCACACCATTCAATTATGTTGCCATATATTCGTGATCATGCTGAAGAGATGATAACGCGTCTACAACACGAGAATCCACGTAATTATTACGTTGCATTGAAACAAGTACATGATGTGTGTCTCTATAAGCGTATAAAGTCTACAGAAATGCTTCCTGCTACTTCCAAAGCTTCACCATCGTCATCACTTTTATCTAAGCGTGGTGTTAGTATTACACAAGATTCCATGGATATAACGAATGATTTTGAATTTCGAGGTATTACACGTGTTCCTGGTTCTATTGATACAGTATTGAATGTCTTGGCTAGTGAAACAGCACGAGAGAATTACTGGGTTGCATTGAATACGATGAAAGAGATTCAAACTGCAGCATTATTATCCAGTGCACGACTTTATTCTCCATTTCAATCAACATCAATTACATCAAATACAGAAGTTGATTCTACTGCATTTCCACGCTGGAGTCGGAAGTTTTTAGCTGCAAAATTCTTGAAACGGAATGACCAAGTGCTTGACTGTTGCTACGCTGAATATGCTACGAAATACACGGAAACTAACAATGAAGGAAATGACAGACAACATGGAATTGTATATCGACGATCTATTTCTGAAGGTGCATTGATTAATACATCAAGCATATCAGCTGAGAGATTAAACAAGGCAAAAGTTCCAGGAGCTACAAGAATTTTTATTCGAAATTGGTTACTTGATGTTGTTGAGACGCAAGAGCCGATGATATGCAAGTTGATACTTACGTGTACAGTCTTCGTGCCCTCCAATTCAGGACATGGAACGGTCGTATTGGAATCCGATTTTCGAGAATTCTGTACCCAAATACTCGTAGGTACACGTCGCGCTTTGACTAATCAATGGATTAATCACGCTGCTCTTACTGGGATACGATCGTCATTATCATGGCGACGAGAATCTCGATGTTGTATAGTATGTTCAACTCAATTTTCTCTATTACGAAAGCGTTATACGTGTCGTTCGTGTGGATGTAGTGTCTGTTTTAAATGCTGTTCAAAAAATTTCTCGTCCAATTTTGGTAGCACAATGGTGTCCGGAGCGAGACTACAACAACGAGGAAAACTCAAGCACGAGTGTCTTCTCTGTATTCAATTTGGTCCAACTAGCGACTCCATCTCGTCAAGCGTCGGATATACAAGTTCAAGAGGACGCCATCTCATGACTTCACCAGCTACAATTTCTACATCCGAATCTCGAGATTATCCAATTTCATCGCGAGGAAGAGAACACATGAATATTGAACAAGAAGATTTGGATCAAGCACATCCAGATCTTGAGCTGTACTCCACTACGTCTGTCACTGGCTCATGTAGTCAGCGAAGTGTAGGGAGTAGATGCCAACGCAGCATTAGTAGTCAAGATGATGACGACGAGTTGGACAGAGACACTGGATCACTTCCACCTCGAACGAACATGTGGATTCGAACAAAAAAACCCAAGATAGTATCGGATCAAAAAACTACAAGTAGTTCTGGTATCTTTCTATTGTCAGAATTGGATAAGTGGACGCTATCAAGTAATGGGAATCGAATGTCTGGAAGTTTTTCGTCGTCGTATTCACAAGGAAATGCACCAACACGATTGCAAGCCAAGTCTGCAGCTCCACATCCCACTGCTTTACATCCACAAAAATTACAGCATCGAAATGATCGGGCAGCGTCTGAAAATAGTGTGCTTTTGATATCTCACTGGCCTCGTAATGGCTCAAGAAAAGGACCACAAGAAAGCAGCTACAGTACAGAAGATGATGAAGATGTTTACTCAGAAGATGATTTGGCCAATTTCAATCTGAAGCTGTTGTAGATGACGTAATGATCGAAATTGTTTAGATTATATTGTCACATTTGTTTAGAAATTATTTCAACCTTGATATGAAATTTTGCAATTGAACGGTATTTTTTATCGATATGACAGATGCAAAAGAAAGACAAGCTATTGATGCATGCTAGCTGGACTCTTGGATAAGATACGGTGTGATGGAGTACGTGCAAGGTTTTGCCGTGATTTTTTGCACAGAGGAAGCTTTGACCTACGAGCCTTAACAATTGCGCGGATGCTGTGCACTTTACATAGAGAAAGCTTGGACTTACAGAATCCGCGTATACAACGAACAGAGGCAAAATTAGTATGCTCCACCCTTGAGCTGCCCCTTTCAGTCACTTAGCACTTGGAAAAATTCAAAAGTAAGTCATGCTTGAAAACTCTGTTCTGTAGTATAAAATAATAAAATACATGCAATGCACGATGCATAGCTTTAAGGATATTGTACAAAAGTGATAGCTGCGCTTGTAATTCCAATGCTCTAAGTGGACATTGAAAAGAGTCTTCGCTCCTGCGAGCGTACTTGCACTCCCTTATATACGCTCAAGCGGCTCTGTAATCCTTTAAAAAAAGCGCGGTCCTTGCGGTCCACGCCTTAAGAGTGAAAAGGCTGATACATTATCTGTTAAGAACGGTTGCGGCGACTTTTCGAGTCCTGACTTGATACCTCCGCTCCCAACAAGTGACATGCGGTGGTAACGTCCACTAAGATTGATGTGCTCTTCATGCTTCGCCTCCCACCTGCACAAATTACACCGTCCATGCCCGTTCATTATGGCGGAAAGAGCTGCATCACCTCGTAGTAAAGCTCGCGGCGATGTTTAGCTCGTTTCTGATTGGTTGCGCCTACTTCACTTACCAAGCTTGCCCAGATTCAAGTGCAAGAGTCGCAGGGACTTTTGCTCTTTTGGCTATGAGATCAATGTATCGGATGTTGCTTACAGCGCCGTGACGGAGCTCTTACGCGCATGTGCATACGGGCCTTCCGCTTACACAAATAACGGAACAAGCGCGAGAAAGTTGATTTGTTAGCGCTGTTTCATCGATGGGTAACTAGTCCCCCGGTGAAACGGTTTGTGCTTGAAGTAGAAGTGATAAAAAAACGTATCTCCCACAAAGTATGTACGAGAAACAGAGCAGCATTAGAGCGAATCTTCAAAAAGGGAATAGCGGTGCAGGCGTACAACCGTGCCCTTTGATACGTGTCATATTGAGTTACAAATTCCTTGCCCCGCGAATCTTTCCGAAATACGACATTTGTTGCATTTGTTCTGAATCCTGAACAGACTGCCTCATCAATTGACAACATCATTGATGTGACATGCGACAGTCGTTCGGAACAATGCAAAATTGCATCTGCTATTAAATTCAGCCTACTCGGCCTATACAAACTTCAAACGTACAACGGCAAATATTGCAATTTTGTTTTGGGGATGATGTGACTATGACGCTGTGCACGCCGGTGAATAATTTGCATACATCAGAATGGAGTTTGATATAAATAGGCGTACCCTGACATATCCATCCCATTAGGAGTAGCTTATTCTCATGAAACAGATAGCTTAAGTATTCCGCTTCAAACTCCGAGGCTTAAACTCGACGACGCGTACATAGCAATTACTTGGAGTTTGGCACAGCGGTTAAAAACCACCGACGAGCTGAATTTGTATAACTAAAGTCGGGGCGCACAGAGGCTTTCTTGCCTGGCTTGAAAACTACCGCAACTGGTGCATTACAAGCCATTCAGCGTACCCTTGTAATAAAATCTATGACATTCCCTGCCATATCGGTAACGTTTACTCTTTACTTGTGCAAATAGTAGACCAAGTTAAGCCGAATTACTGAGTCCCTTTGAAGTCATGGGGCTGGTCGGTCTACAAAAGTCTTGATGTTTGGAATAATGTCATAATCTTCAATTAAGCAACCAGAAAGAAGATCTCGTTGGCGCCAATGACACACTTGTCTGTGAATGGGAAGCCGTGTTATTTGGTGCAAACACCCGAACACTACTTGCAAGCGCTTGATGTGGATGTCAGTATCCGATTGATTTTGTTCATTTATGGATGTAAAATTCATTAACATTAGTCCGTGTGTAGACACGATCTTGCCAGCACCGCTGCACCACTTTACGATTGAGCGCCGCTAGTACGACAATCCATGGGGAGCAAAAATTACCACTTTATACCGCTCAAGTATGCGGGGGTATCAAACTCTCTTGAGCAGTTGAAAGTGTTCATCAGATAGGTCTAGACCACCGAATAAAATGCAACGAACCAGGCTGATCTGTAGCTTTATCTTTCTAGTAATCGAATTTTTCGCAGGAAAAGTGACTGCATTAAGTTTGTTATAAACATGCACAATTCGTTATTTGCCTTTGCCGTTCTGACACTAAAATTTGAAGGTGAGTGAAAGTGTTTGTTCTCTTTTTCTCAAGCCGCTCAGACTTCGCACAGGACAAGCAACAGTACCATCACACTGCTACCTAGATTAGCGTTCATGCGGTTTGGTGGCAGCATTTGGTTCCAAGAACCAAGACACGATTATGGCACACTGCGCTATTAAAATAATTGGTCTCTGTCGCCACAACGCGAGTATCGCTCATCAAATCCATAGAATTCTGCAGAAATGCTGTCTCTCTCATCACATTTAGTACTATACAAGAGTCCATGACGGAGGATGAGTCAGTTTTATTCTTAGTACTATTCGTATCAATTTAGTAATTCACTATTCTTTGCAAATACCCCCTTGGAAAAAAAAATCAAGCTCAATGGAAGCTTCTGGTAACAATGCGAGAAATATTCTTTGGATCTACACTGGTCACCAATTCTCTCTTACCGCAAACCCATGCAGTCTGACTACTATACGCGTCGCACGGTAGTACAACCCTCATGTTGCAACGTTATTGAATTAATTAAAATCAAGCTTTCCTCATTATGACTACTAGTCGCCCTTCTTCACCAGACTTGACACTGGAGAACAAGCGTCGTTTTTAACCCTCATTCGCTCTGGCACAAGAGTTCGCGCAATACAGTCCTACTTTTTTCTCAACAGCTGCGGCAGTGGAGGCATCAGCCAACAGATATTATCGGCCGTCCACCAGAGATGCACTGTAAGGACAATGCCAAAATATTGCTCATTCTCTTTGGGCCACATTATCTGACATCTTATCTCTATTTCATCGTGGGACCGCGGCGGGTTGCCGTCACTGCTTTAAGCAATATTCAAAGAACTTATACAATGTATCCACTACATTAATCGGACAAGAAGCTATCATAGTTTGCTGTCCGCGTTAAAGGGCTTCTTTTTCCAACAAGGATGTACTTTGATTTCCGAAAACTCCGTTTGGAAGAGATTGCAATGTTCGAAACTATTTTGACTTCCAGCCGACCTGTGGCCATAACATTCCAGTCACGCCATACCCAGAAAGATAAAATATCCCGAATTAAATCTCAGATGAGCCAACATCTCATGCTGTCAAATTCCCCAGCTTTTACCTCAACAGGACCTTCGACATTTTACTGGTGTCCTCATCACGATTCACGAATCTTGGCAGCTCCAAAGTCTCTGCGTACTGCTGGCTACTTCCGACAGTTAGGCATCGTAAGTAATGGCACGGGGGACCTACAGCTATCAGGCCTTTCGTCTGAGCGACGCATTGATGTAGACAACCAACACACTTGACTGCGAGCCATACCTCGCACAGAGAATAATCTTCCGAGGTTTGGTCCCGGTTGTGCTCACCCTTAATAAGATTCAGTTTTCTTTAATAGGTCACCCTGCGCTTAATCGGTCTCGACTTTCCCGCTAGTGGTTTGTCGGGCTACCCTGCATATTAGCTTGACTCTTTGTATCTCCCATTTGAGAATAAAGGTGGTATGCAAGGTGCATATGCAATGACCACGGAGCTGCTAGGCATGAAAAAGATTTTCAGTGCTGCGGTTCATCGCATCAGGCGTGCTGATAAGTCTTCTACTTCCGGTATCCGTACTGGCCTCGCGGCACGGGAGCTGCACGCCATATTTAATGCGATACCGGCCGTATCATTAGGAGAGGTTTGGTATCTGTGTAGGGTCTCGATGTGATTCATACTTGCTTCGAAGTCGTTCATGAAGATGTTAATGTTACAGCCTTTAGAAGAAGGTCTAGAGCCATCGCGAAGATAAAGGCTCGTTACTTTAAGGCATACCTAATAGCTTTCGCCTTACTTAGCGGTGGATATGAGCTTTGATCACATTCTTTATGGCTGATCAGCGCGGTGAGAATAATATACGATTTATGTTGCTTTAAATCTTTTAATATTGGAAATACCTCATTCACATAGGTTATTTGAGCAGGTTATGCACTGTATCATCGTGCACGCGTGCTACGTCCATACCAGTGTACATATACAATTGAATTGAATACACTTATCACTTTTGCATGATATCGAAGTTCGACACTGGTATAGATGATTGATTCTCGCAAAGGAAAGATTCTGGTCTCCGTGGGCTGTTAGCCTCACATCAAGCAAAAACATAGTTTATTAGCCGATAGGGTAGATCATATATCATTAGTATTAGCTTAAATATGTTAGCATTTGAATACCTGTCATTCTTGACACAGCAGAGCAAAGAAGGTGTTAGCTACAAGGAAGGCGTACGGTTACTCTCCTACGGGAAGCAAAAGAACTTGTTTTGGCCCTCTTGCGCAATTAAACGCGGACTACGTCTTTTCTTTGCAATCTGCATGGTTAATTTGTTGCGAGGAAAACTTTTTTTAATATACGCAATATTGGGGTGCAACGTCTCGCGACGATGCCACCTCGAGGGCTTGTTTTCACCACTAGATATAGATTTGAGATTTTGACATCGTAAAACGGTTTTAAATCACCGAGGTTCGAGGTAAGTTTTTCCTAATATTGACAAGAAGTTCTAGGTACCAGATTCCATGCATTTTCGTCTTATTAGCGCCTGGGTGAGCCATTATTGTCAACGTCTGCTAGAGAGCAGATGTGCTTTTTGTATGAGCACGTGGCTTAAGAAAAACACTAAATTTTCCGAAGTAGCTTGCAACAATATTGAAGAGACCCTTGAGAAAATGTCAACCGGCAGAATTTTAATTGTCTCTTGTCACAATGGTCAGACACCAATCAACAAGGCTGTTTAAGCCATTTTTGCCACTTTCGGACAAGAAGAACATTGTTGAACAGTGCAACGCAATTCAATTTTTTTTTATAATTTCATTGACTATGTGACGTTAAAGTGAGTCCGCCACCACTTTAGACAAATAAGTTCTAATTTCACCGCACAGGTATTTGCGCCAAAGCATTTATCCAATATTGCATTCTATGTGAGAGGTGTGTGGTGACTATGTTGCTGTGCATAATGCCACATAGATCATAAATGGTTTTGAGCCGACAAGGTGTACTTGAATGCGACAAGAGAAATGTTTAAAGCTTCTGGCTTCTTGTCATGAACTATTGGATCTTATCAGACAATTTTGACAGGTGATATTTACTAATTGACGCGCTCATGTCCATTGTCATTTGCTTATGTTAAGGCTCAGTTCATGGCTAAAGACAAAGCATCACAGACGTTGTGATATGTCCAACGCAAATGTGCATCAATGAGGCTGAACTACACATTTGAAGCACCTTGATTACCTCCATTTTGCCCCATTCGACGCTTCCGAAAGATTTTATTTGTGAGGGAATATTCTGTTGACAAATTTTCGCTATACTCGCTCAAGAAATAGTCCGAGCCAATATACTTTTGTAAGTATCTTTAAAAATGTTATTTTCATGACAGAGGCGCTGTCCAATTTACTAAGACCTTAGCTCCACCATAATCTGCCAATACACCAACTTTTCCACGAATGTTTTAAAAAATGAGGATCTACACCGCTAATGACACACGTATCTATTTTGAGACCGGCTCATTCAAGCGCGTATACTCACAAAATTGTGAGCGGGGGTTAACATCTGACTGACCTTGTTCTAATCAATTAGTCTATATTATCAAAATAGGTCTGTACATGAGCACGATGTCGGCTAAACAACTGTACCTCAAGACGGTTGTGCGTCGACATCTCTTGGAAGCATAACCAGACACTCTTAAATAATTCGTTCGGTGTACTTATGACAATGAGGAGAATATCACTACTTTTGATGAGCGGTTGGTAATACCCAACGATCTTGTCATGGGCATAAAAGCAACACTCCCGTTCTGCAGCACATCCTTTTAGGATGTGATGTTTGCGCTGGAATAAGTGGCATTTTTAAGCTTTCAATTTGCATTCTTGCCATCATATTCTTGACACAGTGAAGGCGACAAGTGATGCGATACACTCTTCCTCACCTACTCACTTTGCTCTTCGCGCAATAGTAAGCGTCTTAAAGTCACACTGTTCCTTTGTTTGAAGCCGCTGGCGTGTGGTGTAATAAAGTCAAGCTCACAAAGCACTGCCGATCCGATATTAAAGTCACAGCGAGTTTCAGTTACAATATCATAACATCATAATATTACTTCAGGAAAGAGGAAGCATTATTCACAGTTTTCATTAAGTTAGCCGCTCAGTTACTGACCAGCGAGCTGTCTTATCATTGAAGTAGATCATGACGGATAAAAACTTGATTACTCTTCCGCTACTCCTCTAGCGATATTATAGTCTCATCGAGGTATCATTAGGAAATTCTGTCAAAGCCATATCGCAACCTTATGACGAGAATATATGGTCCTTCTACTTGCGCCTGGTCGCCTATCTTCACAGGGACGAACCCGCAAGCCAAGCCACTATAGCAGCGTCGAACCTTGGTCACAGACACAGCCAGTTGCTGATTCTGTCCTACCAAAAATACCAGCTCACAACGGTGGATAATCGTCTCAGCTGACTTTGCTACTACAGACCACGACATAAGATTGCATCTTTCGTCTCATCGAATACACACTCTTAAGCCCATGGATCACTTCCGCTCGCTCCTTCCGAGCACAGTCAATTACCCTTTGCAATATCGTTTATGATTTTATCAGATAAGCCCGTATCCGGTACCAAACTGCGCGCACAAAAGCTTTTCTGCTTTCTTCCAGGGGTGGGTTTGTTGTTCTAGCTAGCTTTACAGGAGATAAAGGCATACCATCCAATTTATCGACGTTTCGTCAGTCCATGAGTCATGTCTCTACGACACGACGTGATCGTACCTCTAATTTCCATATTACAAATAACAGTAACGCATCCAAAGCTCGTGAGACAATTGTGGGAGTTATTTGTCTATCATAATACGATATGCACCCCGTGTCAAATAGGGGTTCTGGTGGGGGCGACACTATGTTAAAATGCCATGTGACTAAATCGCAGCATACAGACAACAACTATTCGTCATCTGAGAGACTCCCGTTGTTGGATCATTACCTAGATGCACATGAATTTTATCACCTTCTTGTATTGTATAGTATTTTTCATCGATTATGACTGGTTGTTCTTCATCTCCCTCGATATATTCAACTTGATGGTATTCCATTCTATATAACCGATAATAAATTCATTCCTAAATCCTCTACAAATGCAAAGCTCCTCCTCTAGAGATTCAATCTTAGTAATGAGCATCCTTATAGCTGCCAAATTCAGCACTGCTAATTGACTGTAATCAACCGAAAACTGCATACCTTCAATGTCTCCATCACTCTCAATATACAAATCCTTATTTTCATGAAAATTTACCATATCAGCACATACCTTTCGTACCTCCTGAGCAGACAGGGTTTAGAGTATGGTAACGATCAATGACTAGGTCAATTGTCTTGATATCCTTCTTTAAGCGTCGGTCAGATATTGAGTACACGGAGGATCCTACCAAAATTAATGAGCTAAAGAGAGCTGATATAGGTAACGACAGAGCTCCAGTACCAAGATTTGTCCAAGTATTCGAATTTATATTGTATTGCTGACCCCCCGTGCCTGATATATCCGCGAAAGAAACGCTGCCTTGTATATGGAGAAATGCTGATGGAGTAGCTGTGCCAATACCAAAACGACCGCCGGCTGTGACAGTGCATTTACGTGAGTTGTTGGTAAGAAAATGGAGATCATTATTAGATCCAATCCACGCTCCATTAATTGATGTAGCGTTTGTTAAATTACTAAACTGTACAACTACCTTTACTGGGGCAGTAGCGTTGGACGATAGTAGCGCTAAGACTGTATCAGCAGTTGTCGATCCATCATTCCACATTGTATAATTACCTATTGCGGTAAAGGGTCCGTTGACCGTTAATAACCCTCCCCCACGCGGATCGGTATATCTACTAGTAGTATTCATTAATCAGTAGCCTGCGCTAGTGATCGCTCCTTCGTTTGAGTGTCCGGGATAAAAAGCTACCCCCCGACTGCACCTTAATTAAAATGGGTAGGTTACCGATCGTTCCATATAAAACCCGATTGCCTCACTATAATAGCTGTCTTGACATCGAAGCATGTAACCGGCATGCGTTGAATTACCACTTGAACCATATGCGATACGGACGAGGTCAGTACTTGTTGTAGCCCCCGGGTCAATATAAAGAGTTGTTCCGCTTATTTAAGTAAACAATTCGAACCTAGCTTTAGTTGTGATGTTCCAATTTGATTGATACCCGTGATGTTCGTCGCAGAGTCAAGAATAACTGTTTTGCTTGGTGACGCTGCCCCTGGTGTGATTCCAGAAATAATTGATAGATTCAAAGCTGTTCCGCTTAGGGACAACGATGAAACGTCTAGAGATCCGATCGAAGCTGCTGGAGATGTCAAGTTGGTGTAGACTGAGATAGTCCCGCTTGCTGTAATGTTAGAGCCATATGAAATGAAACCTGTAACCGTAATGGCATTGATACCAGTAATGTTGATACTGCTATCAAAAACGAGTCGCTTCCCAGCTTTGGCGATACCAGGCGTTCCATCCAAGTTGTTCGTCAGCATTGGGTCATATAGTCCGCAAAACAGTAGATTAGCTTCTTCTTGTAGAGTTAGATATTTGTTCTTAGAGCCGTAAAAAGCAGGATTGTACATTTTGCTAACCGTTGAAGTTGGTAGAGAGGGGTATTACTAGTAAGGATGTTCCTGCTTCTATTCAAGTTTCTGGCGTGAATAGTTGTTCGCAAGGTTCAAATTATTTAGTGCTCGCAGTTTATGAACGCTCACTCGAAATTGACAGATTAACTGGCAAAATCGTTCAGTTTGAGTAGATATTACTATTAACTCCGTTTTTTGTGATAAAAAAAGAAAGGCGATAGGTATCTCTACTTCAACCTAAAGGAACCACCTTTACGGCGGGAACGATCGCCGCCATATGCGCTTTCGCTTCGGCAGATTCTTTAACTAGCTTACCGCTCTTAGAAGATACACCAACACCGGTCAATGTTTTTAGACCCATGTTAGCAGCTGGTCCAGCTTGTGGTGCACCGAAAAAAGTTGCAGCAGCAGGTACAGCAACGTCAGCAAGAGCTGAAGCTACAGGTTTGAGGAGACCCCAATTAGACTTGATCCACGGAAGTGCTTTATCTTTGATCCATGAGAATATAGAGCCACCTTGTCGTTCATTAACATCAAACATGATCTCTCTGAGGCCATCTGGATGCGGCACCCCCTCCCGGCGCGCTGAGCTTTTGTAACGATTGCATAATTAGCAGGGTGGAGATAAAGTTTATCCTGATTGCCTTTGAGTTCAGTAGCGGTGAGATTCACAGGGTTTAAGGTAGCTAACTTCTTAGCCTTAGTGGCGGACACAGATAACGAAACTTGCTTATATCCGCTCATGGAGATCTTGTATTATATACGCTCAGAGATCTTCCAGAAAATAATTAATTGCTGAAGCTCTGTGGATCGACCACCTGGTCAAAACTGAAGCGAATCTCGTTCTTAACACTATCTACGAACAGACATTGCCCCTTTTGTGCAGTAGCTCGTTTGTAAGCTTCGTAGAATGCGGCCTCTGATATAGGTACATTAAAATCTGTCAGTATCAACTGGAGATCACGCTTACTGTTAGCTTTTAGAATTGCTACATATTCCGTGTTGCTTCTGATCATTTTATTAGTTCCGCGGAACCAACTGTGGCTTAAATAGATGGTACTCAGTTTGAAGTGACGTCCTCGTGTGAAATAGTGACTGAACACGTTTTTGCCCAACCCTTCATCGTTTGAAAAATCGTCAACGATAACTCATTCTAATCCATTGCCTTTCGATTTACAAATGTCATCAACCAGCGGGACATTATCAGCATCGTAGAAGGAAACAAACTCTCCTAGCTTATCGCGCAGATGATTATATAGTTCTTGATCGGTATTCCGTGCTATGATGTGTAGATGACTGAACACGCTAGGTGAGTGCTTGAGAATATAAAATACTAGATTATTCTTTCCCTGCTGGTCAATATCTTTCTCAAACAGGAGTTTATTAATCAGCTTCGACAGATCCGGACTAATTGTGCGGATAGAACCTACCTGTGTACGATTGGGGTATACCAATTTTAACTTACTTGATGTAAATCAGATACACGGATATATTTCGACCCCAGCTGTTTATATTTTAAATCGGAAGCTGTACCGCTTCCCTGGATATCCCTCAGGCTAACTACACGAGTGTCCCCTTGAGTGTCTTCTTTTTTTTGTCTAGACTCAACATCGGTGAAAGATCGTACGATGACTCAGCGCGCACACGTTTAGGAGTCATTGAAAAATCTTGCGGATGAGATCTTACATCCTGATGCGCCAGTTGATTTGCTTCCGCTCTGTACTGTTCATTTTTACCCATCTTAGTCCCTTGCGGTAGATTATTGTTAGCAGCTACCGTTATCCATATTGGATCTGAATTGGATAATTTACCGGGATGTTCTTCTAAATTGATATCAACTCTTTGACGATTTCGTTTATTTAAGACACCATCACGAAGTACAAACGTTGCTGTGCTTATAACTGTTCCGAAAGGGCTAGCTGCTAACATCTCAGTTTTGTTATTCTCAATCATAAACCGCTTCAATGCACCAATCGTATTGTTTGATGCTGACCGTGGTACGTTAGAATCTAGTTTACGTCGTTTCATCTTTTATACCTGTGCCGTAGAGTCAGCATTTTGCTGCTTGAGTTCATCGATCACTCGATTGTACTCGTGTATGTTCATCATGTTTACCTCCTCGAACGCTTTATAGCCATTGAAAAGCGCCAAATATATCTCCTCTACGTTAGAATAGTCTTGTTGTAGGTTCTCAACAGCTTCTTTAGTCATGTTTTTTTCATTTTCGATATTATCAGTCTTTTGCAACAGACTAAGATACATTTGACGGCCTAATTCGAAATCCTTGTGCAATAGTTCGATTTCATGTCTAGTTAGCGTATTTTCATAGGATACCAAATTTCAAAATTGTAAAGCAATTTTGAAATTTGGTATCCATAGATTTAATTTGGGTGTTGAGCCCATTGATTTCCACTTTAAGTTCCTGATGATATTCTCCCTAATATCAATTTCATCACGACTATCGAGGACCTCATCTTCGATTCTGGATAGGTCATCACCGCTTATGTCAGTAAGAGTTCTAAACTCTCGTGTAGTTTGTAGATCAGTGTTAACATATCGGTTCGTCGTATCGGTTTTCGTTTGGGTAGATCCATCACTTGAAGGAGGTAATGGTTCATAAAAAGAAACTGGGGTAGATCCTTGTGTATTTGGTTCAGTCTGCGTAGAAGATGCTGATGTTTTACCTACTAAGCTAATATTCGCTTTATCAACATCATTACTCCATATTGCCTCCGAATATGCTTGATTCTTAGCGTTATCAATTTCAAGATCGCGTTCAATATCACGCAGTAATT